GGGGAAGAGTTCCGTTTTGTTTCCATGTGACCTTGGAATAAAGGTGTTTTTCTGCGAAATCTGCATTTGGGTCCTGCCTGCTTCGCTCAGCCCTGACAGAAGCTTTCCTAAGTTAATGCCGTTAATACATGAAAGTTAAATTACTCTCATCTCACTCTCACCAGGAAAGTGAAAAGGCCCTCAGCATTTTTCCCAAAATGTCTAACTTTTATTGCATGGCTCACCAGAGGTGTTGTTACAACCTTTAAAAGGGAAATGTATGCTTATTTTCAGGTTCATATTTGTATGTTGAGCCTCGACTGTGACATGTTTACATGCTTTAATGTTCAAAATGTGTTTTGTTTTTTTTCATCCTACCTCTTTTCCCAGAGTCTTTCAAGCTATATTGCAGCGCTCAAAGATCTCACCAATTACCAAACAGGGTACAGGATTTATAAAAAAACAAATCTCCTAAAGTATGCCACACATTGTCCCACTTAGTTTAGCAAACAAAACCTGGATAAACACAGGATCGGATGCAAATTTTACATCAAAATGTGCAACAACAAAACAAATTTCAGGTTGCTCTGCCTGCATGTATCCCAGCTTGTTCAACATCCTTATTTTCTCTATCCCCTGAAGGTGCCAGCCTGCAGTTGTGTACCTTCTCAGCGTTGTATATGAAGGTGTAGTCAGAGATCANNTCCCACTTAGTTTAGCAAACAAAACCTGGATAAACACAGGATCTGATGCAAATTTTACATCAAAATGTGCAACAACAAAACAAATTTCAGGTTGCTCTGCCTGCATTTATCCCAGCATCCTAAAGGACTAAAGTTAAACTGTGCACACATACAATATGCTACAGGAACAGATTTACAACATCCTTATTTTCTCTATCCCCTGAAGGTGCCAGCCTGCAGTTGTGTACCTTCTCAGCGTTGTATATGAAGGTGTAGTCAGAGATCACAAAGAGGATGTTCTCCGGCTTCAGGTCGGTGTGAGTCAGCTTGTTGTCATGGAGAACTGCAGTAGAGAGACAGAGAGGAAGATTACATTCATCTGACGAGCCAACACCCCGTCTGTCTGAGTTTTTTCTTTGTTGAAACAGACGTGATGGATTAGTAGGGGATAATAAATGTCAGGGACAAAGATAGTGAAACATTTGATCAGACACCCACCCCTGGATGTGTTTACCCCTTTAATCTTGTGTGATGATGTAAATCAAAAACACTTCTATCATCTTCGGGTAAACATCTACCTGCCTGGTGGCTGCTGCATCATCCGTCAGATGTTAATCTGCTTACTCTCATCGGTGGATGGCATTGATTTAGCAGTAAAGAGGAAAAGCGGTGCGGTGGGGGGGGGGGTGATGCATGCTGCATGCTGCACTCACAGCTGACAGCGTGGCAGATCTGCTGGGCCATGTGTCGGATCTGGTTAATGGGATAAGGCAGGAAGTTGTTTGCCTTCAAGAAGTCGAAGGTGCTGAGAGACAGCAGCTCAAAAGAGATGCACACATGGCCGTAGCAATCAAACCAGTCCAGCATCCGCACACAGTGGCTGATGGGGAAATAAAATAATGAGATAATGTAGATGTATAAGACAGAAAAATAGTCAAAATTACAAACTACTCACTTTCTGTTGTCTGGATCTCTCTCGCTGATCTTCTCCAGGACATTGATTTCCAGTTTGGCTGCCTCTCTGTATTTATCAAGGTTTTTAATGATCTTCAGAGCAATTTGACTCCCTCCTCTGTGTGTCAAAACAAATCAATGAACGCATGTTGCAGGTCCGTCAAGCCTTCTTTATTAGATGAAGCAGCTTACCTGCTGTGGTCCGTACATTGCACCACCTTCCCAAAGGTCCCCTCACCTAAAGTGTTGACTATCTCATCTGTGAGACAGATTGAGGTGAAATTAAAGCTGGAGCATTTGTACGACGGTTGCCAAAACTTCCGAACTGATACCTACATCTGTCTTCCAGGACGTCCCCGCTCCGGTAGATCAGGTGGCCGTTCTCAGTGTCCCTCTCATTGTCGCAATCAGACTCGCTGTTTCTCCGCTGGAAACAAAGTCAAATTCATGACGAGTGGAGTAAATATCTGGGCAGAGATCAATCTGCGTCAGTGCCTTTCTACACCGTTCAACTAAAGACTGAAACAGAGTGAGTGGCATTTGACCCTGAAGGCCAAAGGTCATCAGGAGGATTTACACTCTGTCATTCGTGATACATTTAAACCTAGATGAAGACAAACGTGCACGCAGTGAAACATATTCACATTGAAAGAAGCTTTATGTCGTGTATGTCTTAAAAACAGCTCTAAATTCAGACGTGATACATTTTTTAATCTCCAGTTTTCCAGCTTCTACATTAAGTTTGAGCCTAATGACCCGAGCTTGTTCCAAAGGAGGTTAATAAGAAAAGTCAACTGGCTTCTGGCCTCTTTGGAGGAGCGGAGGCTCTATTTCCATCGGCATTCTGAGACTGTTATTAATATCAGAAGCCCAGTGCTGAGCAGACACTTATGCAGGACACGGGCCACGAAACAGACAGCAAGTGACACATGTAAACACACAGTCTGCACGGGATTTGTGGAGTTTAAAGAACGAACAATGAGTTAAACCTCACCACATAGTGCGGAGGATTTTCTAAGTCAACCCTAATGATACAGAGGTGACATAAGTGTGTTTGGAAAGAAATCGAAGCAAGAACCCAGCAAACTCAGGCACAGAAAATGGAGATACTCACAGAGAGGCAGAGGCATATACAGTCCAGAAATCCTTTATAGAGAGTGCACAGCTCTGTCTTTCCCATTATGCAGAAGGGCAGAGCTCCTCTGAGGTGAGAAGAGCTTGAGTGGAAGAGAAGAGGATGGAGGGAGGTTGTAAAGAAAAAGGAGAGAAGCAGGTGAAGCAAAAGCACAAAAAGTAGATCAGCAGGAGAGAAAAGGCACAAAGGACAGGACGGTCCAAGTATAAAGCAGAACTGGCACAGTACAACTAGAGGACTTGGAGTTGAGACAAAGTAAAATATAGCTCCCAATGCTGTCAGCAGAAACCAGATGCGAAAGTGAGACGCAACTGACAGGAGAGAAACTAGCTTAAGATAAAAATCAAACAAAAGTGAAGAAGAAAGTTGAAGCTTAATAGAAAATCAGAAAGCGCCAGACGGAAATGAGACAGGAGGAGGACAGAGAGAGGGTGAGAAGAGAGAGCGCATACAGATGCTAATAATACACTTTGGTCACAACACCCTGAGAAAGTCTTCAGAGGAGAATCAAGATGTGGTTAGGGGGAGGAGAGATCCAGTTTCACTCCACTTGACTCACTCTCCTCCTTGCACCTCCTTAACCCCCGCAACATGTTTTCCCACACCTGTCCTGCTATACATAAAACACATACCTTTAAATAAACAGTGCATGCTTTCTACACACAAATAACAGACACTGCTCTTATAAAGTTTTTATTTTGTCGTTCATGTTTAAAAGGTCACATTACTTGAACAATATGAGGTGTATAAAAATGTGAAAAATAGAACCATAAGAAATGTTAAAATACTCGTCTGAAACCTCCTAAACTTGATACAACGTGTTGGTCACAGTAACAAAGTGGACCAATGATTTGCATTTGGATATTTCATTACATGAAACAGCAGGTAAAAAGTGTTTTAAAAACCTTCCAACCATTTTAACACAAAAAACAAATCTCATGAAGCGATCAGTAACAAAACATTAGATTTCTATAAATATTTTGTATATTAGATATTTTTAAATACAATCTGTGATAAAAACGGTAACATAAAAAATATCCTTTAGGTGATTGTGAACACATCACAAAGCTTGGCGCTGCTCCTCGTACTTTAGTCCGTGGAATATCAAAATGTCTCCATAAGGCTCGTCCTGCTCTGCACGGAGCCTCTTGGCTTTTAAAGACTCTGCAGAAAACACAAACAACTCCACTGTAAACAAAACTAAAGTCTAACACAACTAGATCATATGAAAATCTCTCCATGAACCATTAAGAGATATTGCTTCTTCAGCTCAACTCATCATTAAAGCTTCCATAAATGACACCTTCACCTCCAACATGTAACAGAACACACAATTTCAACATGAGAAATGGGATGATGGACTAACTAACGCCTCACCCAGCAGCCTCATGAAGCTTTTGCTGACAGTTCTGCGGTTTGCGTCTGGCGGCAGGAGAGAAGCAAACACCACGTGCCCCTCTTCATTCTCTGGGATATCGAACGGCAGCCTACACACACAAAAACACACGATCATATGCTTATCTCCAAAGTGTTACTAAATGCAAAGACTGGGAAAAATGACCATACAGCTTCAACTGAGTGAGTAATAGTGATGCGTTCAATGTCATTACCCAGGAGACTCTTCTGCAGCTCTCTCCAGGAACTCGTCCACCACCTCTGGGATGTCCTTCAGGGACCTGGGGACAGCAGGCCTGAACACACACATGTGCACATAAACATGACAGCACATTCATTTAAAGAGCACTCAGTGGCAAATTGTGTATTTTTTTAAAGATCTAAACTGAAGTCTTTTGGATTCAAATACGGAAAATATTGGACCGTATACAATAAAATGGACGCAACTACAAACATGTCAGAGCTCTTGCAGCTCACTGATCAAATGTCCATATAGTGTATACAAAGGGCAGAGTAGAGGAGGACATCGAGGATATGGAGGATATGGAATATAAACTCAAACGGCTTCCCATACTCCAGTCAGTGTAATATATGTAGCCCTTTTTTGACTGTCATGAAATGTATGGTAAAGATCTGGCTGAAGTTAGTGCCAAATGTGGTAACGTGTTCTAACCCATTTATCTTCACATCCCTATGTGTTACCCATCCTTGCTGCACTCACATCTTCGGTACCTACCCTTCTTTCTCGGGTGAGAACATGGGGGAAATGTCTCTGATTCGAGACGTCTCCCTTTGGTCAGATCTCTCCAGCATTGTATCAGGGTCTGATAAACACACACACACCATTTTAGATATTATATTAGCTTGTATTCGTTCCCTGTAGGCTTGCCCTAACCCTTAACCATAAGTGATACATGCCTATCCCCCACCTCTGACTAACTTCATCATTAACTACATCTGAAAGCAGAAGTCTAGAGCAAACAATTGCAAGTCTCTTCAGTGCACATGTCACAAAATGATTTAAAAAGAAAAGCCAAATTCTGGAGAAAAATAAAATAAAATAAGTGACATTTTGAAAAAAAAGTAACGTTTTCAAAAAGAAAGTCAAATTCCGAGAAAAAAGTCTAAATTGAGATGAATTGTGGGACATGAAATGAAGTCGCGGGCCGGATTTGGCCCCCGGGCCTTGAGTTTGACACCCCTGGCATACACGGTTCGTTCACACGAGGCCGTAACGGAACCGCAGAAACGGACCCCTCAAACGATAACGGGTCCCAAGGTGGGTAGATCTGCCGACGGAACGCTCTGGGGGGCCAAACGGCTCCGTGTGTACGCCCTATACGCCATAGCCCCGCCTCTCCCCACCTCTCCTGCTCACCCGCCAACAACAACAACCGAGTGTTTCGAGCCAGGTATCACATATTTGTCATATAATAATCAAAATATATGTTTACAAATGTTACATAGTCTTTGTCAGCATATTTTTGCATTTTAAAGATGCCTCTTTTACCTTTTTGTGTTAATTATTCGGGTCTAAATGAGCTAACGGATCTTTGCATCGAGTGCTTGAGGGTGGGATTAAGAGAAACATTTTTATTTTGAGGGGTGCTTTTTATGGCAGGCCTGGTTGCCACGATATGCACCCCTTGCTATCTTACATAATAAAAGGGTCACATACATGAAACTTGCTCCATTTATTGGTACTAGTCCTACAAATATACCCTCAAAAATGCTTAAGAATGGGATCAAGAGAAGCATATTTTTTTGGGGGGGGTGCATTTCACAGTGGGGGTGCATCATTCAGTTGTGCGGTCTTGTGTGGACGGACACGTTTATTGAGCCGATTGCGTGTGAACGGAATACTTTTTTGATATCGAATTCGGTTCATTTTCGTTTCCGTGTAAATGGGGCCTAGGTCGCGCTAAAAGCAACTGATGTGGACACACACTTCACCCCCAGCACACTTTCATGTTTCGTTTTGTTTTACACAATGTTTACCTGAAAACCCGTTCATCTCCAGGTCTACGCCATCTCGGTTGAACTGTATTCACACACACAAACACACACACACACACACACACACACACACACATTACTAAATCTTCTCCCTACACAAAGAGGCTTCACAGTTATTGATACCATAGTCACACACACAAACAAACAAATAAACATTCCTCCACACCTCACTATAGGGGCTGAGGGCAGCACCTCCATCCTTTCCTTCCCGTGCTTCCACCTCCTCCACCATTGCATGCTCTCTCTCCTTTTCGGAGTCGGTGGACTCGGGCATTCTCTCCCCGACCTGCAGGTCCGAGCCTGAGAGAGGCGTGATGGTCGCAGCCTGTTTCCATAGTAACAGCAACTCTTCAGGCAAGGCTGCGAGGTGGAAAATAAAATCAATGTAGATTTTTGAAAAAAGGTAACATGTATCACAACTTAAAACAGCAGTAGTTGCAGATGTGCACGAGCAAAATTGAAGTGACAAAAAACCCTCACTTCATATCAAACATGTGTATAAAAATATAATAGATATCACCATCAATTAAAAATAATATGACTTAAAAGAAGCTGTTAAAAGAAGTTAATCATATTTTAAAATTAGTGCCACTGTTGTAATACAGTATACAGGAAGTCTTCTGAACTGTTTCATGGCAAAAAAAACAACAACATTTTTTACAGTGTAACACAGGAAGAAGGCTGTTCAGTGTTTATGAGGAACATGGTTTTAAACACTGGTGTGAAAAAAGATTTGTATTCAAGGATTGTTGTTTTTTACAAGTGTTACTGACGTGTGCAGGGATTATTGAAGAGCTCAGCAGCAGAGGGCAGCCTCTGAGAAGGCGGCTGAAAAGTAAGACGAGGTCCGGTCTCAATATGAGGGTCGTTGATCTGCTCCTGCTGGACCTGCTGTGGGATCTGCGTCTCCGGGTCGAAGAAGATCAGCTGCCTCTTCCTCCTCCTCATCTGCACCTCTGGAGTGGGCACATCCTGGGAATGGGAGGGATGGAAATTAACCCTAACTTTCCTCCAGCTGCTAAAGGCATTTCATTGAATGTCTCTCTAAAATGAGAACAGCCATTGGGTTGCCAGGTTGGGAAAAATCCCTTTTGATGACATTTATTTATCCTAGCAGCTTAAAATGCAATTTGTGTTAATGTTGTGAGTTTATCAGGAGACCCCGCCAATAGACATGTTACCATTAGACCACAATCGATTTAAAAACTATTTATTACCAAATTCAAGAGCGGGCTAGTCTTGTCTTTGTTAAACTTTAACAATTCAATAGAGATTTCCCAAATAAACCTGCTTTGACTTTTTAAACATTCTAACAAAAATGTAGGCCTTATTTAGAGATGACTGACTTCAGTGCCTTTTAACATTTCTAAAGGATCTACAGGAACCATGATGATACCAATTCCCAGAAATCAATGGACACCGTTATAAAAACAATACTGTATTTGAACAAAAAAAGGAGGAAGTTTGTTCTAAAAACACTTCCTGCACGGTTGTGATTGCACGAAAACTCCAAATCTGGCACCTTCAACTGTAGAAATGGTCTTAGACGTTTCCCGGCTACATGTGGTGGGGAGGGGAGGATGGGCACAGAGGTGGGGGTGTGCAGGTCTGAAGGGGATCTGGGCTTCACCCCGGACAGGCCTGGATCTTCCTGAGGCAGAATGACGTCATCAGTGGAGAGGGTGGGGTGCTGTGAGCTGACACAGAGAGAAGCATGGTGTTATTGTGTGTGGCCCTGTGGGTTTCTGCTGACGTTTCCATGGAGATACTTTACTCAATAGTGGAAGCTGTGAAATCTCTTGTTGTCTTTCCCTCCAGGTCTTCTTCTCTCACATCCCTTTCAATATCCATCTCCAGATCTCCTGGCTGCATTCCTTGCTCCAGTATATCAAAATCTTCACCTAAGTAAAAGAAAGAAAAACCATAACTATCTTATTGTCACCCTTCTCTTGCTGGAAAAGGAGCTCCTAGTTTCGCAACGCACCTTCTGGAAAGTAACCTGTCTGGGCCATGAGGATGTCAATCGTA